TGCGCCAAACTTGTACGCACAGTTGTGTTGACACGCAGTCAAGAGCCAATAAGAACGCGCTATCGTCGCTAGCGGCTCACCAATTGTAAGCGAAATCCAAGCCAACATGGCGGCGCACAGCGACAGCGTCAAAGTGTTCGATCTTGGGATAATCCCGCTGGCTTCCCCGACGTTTTGTAATGCTTGAACCATCGCAGCCTTAGAAAATGCACTCCCCATCGCTCCCCAAAACAAAAAAAGCAAGTTCTGCGAGCGGAGAATCGGATACGTCTCGCCGAGTCGGCCGAGTGGCGCGAGCGAACACGTCACCCTCCTCGTCTCACTCGGCTTCTGATTGGTCGAACACACCGCAACGCTTCGGAAAGTTGAGCGAATCTCTACTCGCTTGCGTCGCGCTACGGAGCGTTGCGGGAAGGCGCGCGTCGCATCGCGAGCGACCGCTCCTGGCCGCAAGGACGTCGCAACGCACTCAAACGCGTTCAAACGCGAATGTGCGTATGGGCCTTTAAAACACCTCTTAAAATCCCTTACGAGGAGAGAGCGCACTGGTACCAGCTATTTGGCAGTCGTGTAAATTTTGCAGTTTCCGCAGACTTCCTTTTTTCCCTCATAATTTTTTTTAGCTTGAAAAAAACCTTTGGCAGCGTTATTCGCGACTCCCAATAACTATAGGTGACGCCACTCATTTTCCAAAATGGCGGTTATAGTGAGGGTCGGAGGTGCGAGCCGCTATTGAGCCTGTCTGGTGTGCTGGCTTCACTGAGCGACACACATTATTTATGGTAATACGAGGAAGCCAGAGTATTATGAGCGCAGATCACCTCATTACGCTGAAAACAAGAACGGTGTTTAGCGTAATAATTACTCCAGGAAGCATGTTTTAATTCTGGAGCAAAACCGAAACCAACCTCTATTTTGGATTTAATTTCTCGATATAGGTCTTAATTTCGGATTCTTGCATAACGTAAGATGTGTCTCACATCGTAATTATTTAGTTAGAAAAGTTCTTCGTGGAACCTTTTATTTTCTGACATACATGTTCGATCCAGGCTGATATTTGTAGTTGTTGTAGTTGTTGGAAAAATCAGTGCTAATATTTGTCCGTTCTCGCTGCCTTTTCTCGCTCAGATAATTGTCGCGGGAAGTAATGAACTGCGGGCCTTTAAAGACGTTTTAGGCATTTAGATGATTATTTGGTTTAATATTATTCCCAGCCCAAGTATAAGAGAATAATTCCAATTTTTACAATATGTCCACAAGACTTATAAATTAATAAACGCTATTCTCACGGCAACAACCCAAAGACGGAATTCGAGTCAGACAGCTGAAGTCTGTGTGTTTTTTATAGCAACGTGTGGCTCATGCGACTTTATAATGCATCCAGTGTTGGACTGTTTGTCTATCTTGATAACGATGTCAGAGTTTCCATACGCTAAAAAGAAAACAAAATTATACCTTTCTGAAAAGACTATTATGGTTATATGGCGAATTTTCGTGATCTTGGCGTTAATTGGGGCATACGTTGCCGAGATTTGCATTATTAATATCAATACTAAAATTCAGATATTTTAATACGTAATTTTTTAAGCTCTAATATAATTTGTGGCTTATGATCTCATTTCAAACGCGTGAACGAATATGACAATCAAAAGTGTGCTAATTATTATCACTGGTGCGAATTGCAGCATTTTGAATTACCAAGTAATGAAATAAAACTATAGTTCAAAATCAGTGTGTCGAACCGAAAAAAATACGGGTTCGGTTACGGTTCAGGTTCAGGTAAATTTATTTTGTTCCGGTTCAGTTCCGGTTCGATTAATTCGATCCACGAACCGGTTCGCGAACCGGTAGGGGCGCTGAACCGGTTCGGAAATTATAAATGACAAATTGCAACATCAAAATAAATTACAAATAAAACATCTGAAATCAGCACATTCGAAACGGGATACATCGTAGTGTAAGGCTCAGGGATTTCTACCAGGAATGGTTTCTTTATGTGCACTCAAAGGTTACCTCACCGACGTTTACGCATTCGGACTTCATCTAATTGGGTCCGACGCAGTAGCTGTAAAATCCGCGCCCTCCTTACAAACCCACTAACAAGTAGAACTCGCTAACTATCCCGCCACCTCGGCGTGTAAGCAATTGAAGGAACAGTGGGGAGAAAATACAGCTTTCTTTATTTGAACTAGCCTTCAGTAACTCAAATTAGACCCTTAAAGAAGTTTTCATTAAACAAGATACGGAATATGAAAAACACTTCACCGAACGCAACGCCAGAAGGACGTAATAGGATAAATATTAAAATAGAAGAGTTCTCTGTCTCACAAATATGTTAGCTTCTAAGGGCCTATACGAAACCGGATGCATTATTATCAAACTCCCACAGCCTTTTCTTTTCTCATTCCGATGGAAGCAAGCTTTAAGAACTCGCGCGTTCTAGAAACGTGTTATGAAATGAGCACACAGCAGCATTTAGGATTTACGAGATTATAGAAAAATGAAATCCCGTGACGCGATTTTTTTTTTTTTTTTTGCTCAGCCTTTTAATTTTCTTTCTTCCGTGCAAGCCGCGACCAGCGCAATACTGGTTCCTATGTCAAGATTCATGGATGCAGCGTTTGTCAAGATTCATGGATGCAGCGTTTATATTCCTAAGATTGAGTGGAGATTGAAAAATATGTAAGCGAGGTGTGTGTCAGTTGACGGCACTTAAAAAACAAAGGGCATTGATAGCACATTCATTGTCAACAGCGCGTGGCCGAACCGTTTTGACATGAGCCGGTAACCGTTATTTTTTTCCGGTTCAGTTCCGGTTCGGGTTCATCGCGATAACAATATAACGGTTCGGGTTCGGGTTCAGTTCCGGAAAAAAATACCGGTTCGGTTCCGGTTTCCGGTTCGGTTCGGTTCCGGTTCGACACCCTGTTCAAAATCAATGAAAACATTCTTGCTACTGTGAGAAATCGACGTAAAATCACATTAATTGTGGGTAAAGTATATCTTGCTATCAAAGTCGCGACTTTCGACATTCAGCAAAATGTCCAAAGTTGCCGCCAATATCCTTACAACCTCTAGCTCTACCCTTGGGCGGAGAATGAGCGTTCGGCGATGCCTAGTTTATTTTTGCGGTAAAAAAGACCGTGTAAATTTTCTTTTGTGACACCCTGTATATTTGATTTCGCAAATACCGCAAAGCATTTGCTCGAATGAAAGGCAGTTCCAAGGTCCCCTCATAGATTGCGACAGTGTGACCGTGTGTTCGCTCGCGGTGAGAAAAAAATTGGTGTGTGTGTGTGTGTGTATGTTTGTACTGTCTAGAAGTTGATCTGCCTCAACGGGCGACTTGTCTCCCAGCTGTAGACGAGCAATTTGGTCAGTGCAGTACAACCGCTAGCCTGGGGTCTTTAACGTGCACCACCCAGTGGTGATACACGACCGCACGCCGCGGCACGATGCTCATCTAGGTCGAAACGAGTAAGGGCTGGAATTTAACCCAGGGCCCCTGGGTTCTTCAGCGCAAGCTTTCCCTCCACGTGCTCCGAGCTGATGTGCGCTATCCCACCCGGCCACCGATCCCTGCGCTCGTCGTGAGAGATTGCAAGAGCTCGGTTCTAAGCCACAAGCCACAAATGTTTTTTGTTCATGTTGCTTCTGCTTCATCCTAAACAAAAAAAAAAAACAAAAAAAAAAAGAAAGAAAAAAAAAAAAACGCAGACGACGACAACAGGACCCGACGTAGCTGTCAACTGAATTCTGTAACGAAGATAACCACAGATAAAAATATTTCGAAAAAAACGAGGGAATAGACTAAAGATGGACACGCAATACTGTAGTCACTGGCAAGTTAAAAAACGCAGGGCGTGGTTTATTTAATTCACTCTTCTAGCTTCGTGATTGGTTTCTCGACGTTCCTATCGGCTGATGACGCAATCTCATTGGCTGTGGAGTGCCAACGAAATGCTTGGGATTCGCCATGCCCTACGTTTCTTAGGTCGTCTGGGATTATGGAGGATGGATGTATGCATGAATGGATTCTAACGCCTGTACCCATTATAACGGTTGGTAGATTGCTCTACCTAGCGCAGAAACCTTCAAACGGGCGAACGCAATTGCGTCTCCTTGGTTAGGTCGGGTACTCCTTGTTGCCAGTCTTGAGTAAGATATGAGTAGTTGTGAATCAACACGATTGCGGTGGAGATTTTCATTTGTTGGTGGAAAAGAGTCGGGGTCTGTCGCGCTCGTGTAACTGTGGTCGCTGGCAGTAAACGTTACTAATTCACTTCAGGTGTGGAACTCCCGCGGGGGAAAGAGAAAAGGGTTGACCCCCCCCCCCCCCCCCCCCCCCCCCCCCGCTTTCCCTGACTCCCTTCAGTCCGCCTCCCGTCGTTTGAAGAGCCATCTAGATTTTCGTTTCACAACTGTGTGTTTCATACAGTGCGGTGGAACGCCATAAAGACGCTGCGCTTCGAAACATACGTATTCCATAGAATACACTGCAGCTGTCACAGCAGTCATCCGGCGCGTCGAACGACTGGAGGCTAAGGACTTTACGGGAGGCGAGCAGTGGGAGGAGAGATGGGGTACTGCTCGTGCAAGGATCGTATAGGAGGAGTACCGCAACTGAGCTAATCTAGTAACGTCGCTGAAAAGTTAAGAAACACTTTGCTTCATCTCGCTTTGCCATTATTTGTTGTGTTCTTATAAGTCGATGCCCATGCAAAGGACAATTTGCATGACACTCTCTGTGTCGTGCTCCATCCTAATATGATGGTCCTGTAACATTGATCATAGAGACACTTTCTGGAGACATATTCAAAGCAAACATACATATGAAGCATTCATGCTTCGAACTTGCTTGAGGCGTCTCCGCAGATACTTTTGCCATCGTGTCCGCGGAGAAACTCCGCGTCTTTCGAACGATGTACGAGCAGGGCGACAGGGATTATAGGCCGTAATCGAGTCAACATGTCCTGGTACCTCCTTTTTCTTTTTTGCAGGATATGGACCTGATAAGCTTCCTCATTAGTCTCTTCAAGGAATACTACCCATGGGCTCTAGGTAACCCGCCCCTTCGATTTACCAGCCGCACCCCGTTGTCACGGTCTCGTGTTCTTTAGGAAAAAACTAACATACGAGGTGTGATCAAAAGCTTCCGAGACTGATTTTATAGCGCAGAAAGAGAGGGCAGCACAGTGATGCGCGCACAGCAGTCGGAGGAAGGGACATCCGTGTCTCGTTATACCAAGAGGCGTCGCTGTGTGAACGTTTGGAGCTGCGCTACGCGACTTTTTGTGACCCCATGCACGAGCATAATGGCGATCTCTCCGTAGGCTGCGAACCGAAGTGAGAGGGAACATCAAGTTTACGTCAAACTCGGCAAATCTAAAACAGAGACCTCTGATATGATTTAGAAGGCTTATGGTTAAAAAGCAGTGGGGCGTGCCAGGTGTCTTGGGTGGCGCACTGAGGCCTCAAGAATGGAGGAACATCACTGAAGTCAGGGAGAGGTCGGATAAGGTCGCCCTACGCTCTTACAGCGACGTTCTGCCGTTTCTGAAGCGCGAGTGCTACATAAAAGAATTCGCGAAATTCACTGCCTTTTGAAAAAAAAAAACTGCTGAATAATTTCAAAGGTTTCTGTTTTAAAGTTGCCGAGTTTGAGGCAGAAATGATGTTCGATCTCGCTCTGGTTTGCAGTCTATGGTGTAATCGCCATTGTGGCGCTGCACGTGGACACAAAAACTCGTGTAGCGCAGCCCCAAATGTTCACAGGGCTACGCCCTTTTGTATAACGGGACACGAAGGTACCTTCCTTCGACTGCCACGCACGCCTCACTGTGCTGCGTTCTCTTTTTACGCTACAAAACCAATCCTGGAACTTTTTTTCCTCACCTCGTAGAAGTAAAGCTATTTTATATCCAAGCCCAATAACGCAATATTAAACTCAACAACGTATATTCGGCTCGCTCTTAAGTTTTTTTTTAAAATTTCTGTTTCAAATTTACTTGCGATATATATCTACATAATTATAATTAAGTTTCGTAATATTATTTCGATGATGTCGATTTTGACGTTAATTTTTTAAGCTGTTTCGTAAATTTTCCCTGGCCAGGATTTGTTGTCGCTCTTTTGTGGAAGCGATCTGATTCAATTTCGAAGATATTATATATAATTTAAGAAGAAAAGTTAGAAAACAGAAAGCTCGTACACCAAGTTTTTTAATATAAATATTTCAGTACTTTGAGATAATTTCGCGGTTATCTGTACTTCAGATACAGTGCGTGATGCAGTATTAGTGTGAAAATGACATCAGGCGTTTTATCATTTTGTATGAATATTAATGACTCAAACACGAAATTTTATATTTTTTTGGTTTCCAAGTAAACAAAACTTTACTATATTGCGAGATTTTTTGTTTGTAAAAGGTTTTCAGCTTTTTAAACAAAACGTCGACAGTTTTTATTTACTCATTCATTCGCAAAGAAGCCTGCATCTCCGTGAGGCACTTTATCAGAGGGTGAGTTTATAAGCATTCCTAAAGAAGGGACAAACTAGCATTCATACTAGTCTTTTCTGACTACACATATATGTGTCTGAAAAAGTTGATTAGGTCCAATAACAGCTGAAGTTTATATGTTAGCACAGTACAATTTACAAGAACCGCTATCTTTACAGGTTTCATAATGGTGTACGACATGCCCTGGATATTTAACAGTAAGTCACGATTACTACATTATTTCTGCGATGGTTAAAACTGCTATTGTAAGTGTTTTTTGGAGCTGTTTCGAACTAGCATGCGCAAGTTTGATCGTCGATCAACAATGCAGATATTGTCATTTTTAGTTTTAGAGAGTGGGGTAGCCATGGGGAAGGAGAGACAGTGTGGCGTCAAAGTTGACCCTTCCCTGTGGCTCTACGCTAAAATTCAAACTTGGTTTAAATATGAATAGACCTTTTTCGTTTCTTATACAATAGGTCAAGTCGGAGGGTACCTCGAAATAAGCAAACGTACTTTTATTTAATACACTGTTATAATTGATACATTATTAATGGTGCTAATATTATATCACGCTTCTGACGTCAGGTCAACGTTGACAGTGGAACGGAGCAAGGTCAGCTGCCTCGCTTATCGAAAGAAACTTGGCTTTTGAGCATAGGCAATGCTCACAGCTGCTGTCGGCAAACAAGCTTGTCTAAAAAGTGTGCGGTCACAACCATACCTAAGTGAAGCACAGCATAAGTAGAATAACACTCAAACGTCTCAGAAGTGCACAGTATACGAAACCTGGGGTTCGAACTAATTACGGTACACAGCACCTTACATACCTCGTACCAGATCTACTAAACACGCACTTAAACACAGCAGAAATGGACCAAGCACACATTTCGTTTTTTCCATTAAAAAAAAAAATTTGAAATATATACTAAATTAATCATGATCTGCAGTGAGTACGAAGTTGACAGTTATGTTTATTGTGTCTGTTGTGGATTTTAAAGTTGCTGTATCTTTGTATGTTTATTCTGTTTATGTTCCCGTTTCTCCTCCGAGTGCTGTAAAAAAAAGGGCCGGAGCCTCGACAGAAGACAACTCGTCTTCTTTTGCCCCAGCCCCCCAGACCCTTTTTTGTGTCTGAAATAAAAGATACATACATACATGCATACATACATATTTATGTGAGCCGAAAATGTAGCATACACGTAAAGAAACGCGAAGAAACACAGCCCGACACTGTCGGGTTGTTTTTCGATTCATCAGTCACCGACAGGGTTAGAACGGCAGGATTGAGTGTCAGTTTTGCCGCCTACAGCGCGAGCTTGCTACCCTTGGACTACTCGTGAGTCTTGAGCATGCACGAGCAGTCGAAGCACAGTGGAAGGCAACGAGTTCACGCGAACATTCGAAAGAGACGCCCGCTTGTTCGCAACCTGTCACCGACTATCGTACATACCTAAAACTGTACATGCGAACGCCGTTTAAAAAAAAAAATGGGTCTGTATTTTTTGTTTCTTTTCTGTTGAGAGCTCTCAACCCAGAGGTAGTGAAATATTCAAATTGGTGCGAAAACGGCGGCCGGTGCATCTTCTATGTCCTACACCGGATGTTCGTCGTCTGCTCATAGTTTTGCGAGCTCTCTCCCAAGTGGTCATCGTTCCCATATTTCGTTAAAATTATTACTTCTCGCGATTATCCTGCTCGTTGCCAGCCTCTACGAGGAGTTCTCAGCGTTTCTACCTTCAACAAGCCACCCGGGAGCTCGCACGCAAAACCAGTGAGCGGACAACAAACAGACTGGGATAGGCATATAAAATACAAGGCCACCGCCTTCGCTTCGTGGAAATGGAGCGTGCTGGTGAAGGTACGAAGTTAGACGAGAATTTCATAAATTACGAGGACTGGGCGACACGAAACGAAACGTGTCGTCCGGTCCTCGTCATTTATGTATTTCTCCTCTAACACCCTTTGCTTCATTTTAAAATTTCATCACCTCTGAGTTGAGCTTTAAAGGATTTAGACATTAAACTTCTGCGAAACTACGTTCGTATGCCAAATTTAAGATATGTACGTTTTTTGGGGGAATGAATTTTTGCAAGGCCTGTTAAACGTACCGGTCGTTACGGCCTCTCCCTGAATGTAATACCACAAATAGGAATGACAAACTATGGCAAGTTTAGGCTGAACATTTGCTCGTGCTAAGTGTGATTATGACTTCATATGTGGAATGCGTGTTGAGCTGATTAAGTGCTAAGTAATCCGTATTTTTTGTTGACGACGGTCTTTTTCTGTACTTGTTATCCTTTAGCCGCGTGGAAAGTGGTGAAGTCATGGTTGCCAGCAGAAGGAGCCGACCGGATCAAATTCGTTGACCGGGACACCATCACAAACTACGTTCCACGGGAAAATCTTCCAGAGTACATGGGAGGAAAGGTAAAAGTGATCTCTTCTATCTTCTCTCTCTTGACGCTATGTAATTAACCGTCCTTGAAATTTAGCGTCTGTTTGTTGGTATAATTATTATACCCTTATCAATAACCTCTAAAGTATGTATCTATTCATTGCTTCATTTTCAGCGCTACACAAGCAGCTATACGTCTGTTTAGTGGTGCATTACGACGAAGAAAAAGTAAATTGCAGCGTAAAAGCAAAGTGAACAAATTGATACAGAGAACGCGTTAGCACGACCCTTGGAAGACGCCACATACGTCCTCCTTAGGGAAACACTAACGCTGACCCCGTCACTTTTCTGTTTTGGTTTTCTCTTTTGCTCCCTTTATTTTCTGTTTCCTCTTTTTGGCTTTGTTACGGGGTCAGTGTAAGCATTTCCCGAAAAGGGAGGTGTGTGGCTTATCCCAAGGGTCGTGCTAACGCATACCCAAAGGATCCACCAATGTATCTTCCTTTAATTTTTTGCCGCCTACTTGGACCAGCGGTAGTACTTGGTTCGCACTCTATTTCGTAGTCCAGACCAAGACTTACACGCTCCGCCCACCTGCAAGTTCCGACTCACTCCAGTTTCCAGTATCCGCGAGCGGATTGGCTTCCGCCCCGTGACGTCATCTCCCTCTTGCCTTTGTGCTTCACTACTCTCTTCCCCTCTAGGCGGCGCGCTTTCCTTTCCAATGCTTTGTCAACAGACGGACGCCGTCAGCGTTTCCCTATCATGTAAACACTAATTCTAACAGATTAAAAAAGAAAACGACGCTAACATATTTATGTGACCTCGATGCAATTTTGAAAACTTTTCTTTCCTACGAAAATATAATTATTACTAGATGGAGGAAGCGAATCGCCACAAAAGAGAGTCCATATGCTATTACTTTTGATGTGCAATTTATTCCGTTTGCATCGGCTATTATGAATGTTCCGCTGACTAATTGCCGGGTCAAAGATTAGCGCTTATTCTATTGTGACCCGGAGCACCTAAGCCTCTAATATCCGAGACAACACCTAACGTCGCACTTAAATGAACTGGTAAAAGCGAGCGAGTTGAGCATTAATACTTAAAATCGAAAGAATGAAGCGCGGAGGACAACCACGTTTTTTGAAAGAACGTGGTTGTCCCGTGCTTGTTCTCCGCGTTTTATTCTTTTGATTTTAAATATAACTTTACCCAAAATAATGACTTCGACGTCAACTTCTAAGCCGGACCTGAAATATAGAGGAGAAACCACCGAAAGTGAGCGTTGGTGTTAACGCTGCCAATTTACTCCCTAGCGACCAAAGTGAGGTTGAGCTCTTCGAAATTTAAGCATCACAAGTCGCATAAGCGCACGCTCAGTAAGAACTGCTAGTGTGAACTGCCAACTTTGGCGGAGAACTTGCACCGGGCTTCTACTGACGTCACATCGAACGCCTTTGTGGTGGCCTTTCTGCTGAGCGCGTGTATTCTGCAGCCAGCACATGTCGCTACAAAATTTGTTTTGTCGACTACAAGTAGGTATGACCACCAGCACGGCCGCGATGACTCGAAGTGCAAGCCATGTACCGGTCCAGAGACGAGCTATATATTACGCTTTTTTTTTTTTTTAAACACCGGAAGGCGGCGCTTTTGGCAGTGCACGACGCAGTGAATTTCCGGTCAAATGATGTGACAAATAATCACAACCGTAGCACCGATTTTTTAACGTTCATTAAATATTTTATGACCATTTTTTTTTATATGGTTAGCTAAAGGACCGGTTAGTGAGATATTTGTTGGGGATATTTTTATTACTAATACTATAAACCGAACAACCGCCTCTTATATGTTATGTTGAATAGCACAACATAAAGATCTCACTATATCCCCACCTTCCTGATTTCTTCATAACTTCATCGTCCCGGGACTTTAGGCATCAGCAGGCTCGGAAGGCCTGCCGAAACGGTGCGACAGGAAGTATCTTGGGCTGCAATAAACGGCCTGTGTTTGTAAACAAACAAGGGGTCTCTACTTCGCCTTACCAGTTGTGCGCAGCAGTATTAAGTAATGTTAGAAGATCGTCCCGATACCTGTGATAATGAAGCTCGAAAACGATACAATACGCGCACAAAAGCGTCAGCGGAGCGTCGGGCATTGTTATCGGAGTTATGGGAACATTCTACTAAAACTCTTTTTATCAAAGACACTGACTCGATCACGTACCCGTTAAAGATGCACGGTCAAGCTCATTCGCTCGTTTCCGTGCCTTACAAGACGTTCCACTTGACAGCGACTCCAATTTCGGGCCTGCACGTTGATAACGAGCCAACATTCAGCCCGACTAAAGTGCTTTTCACATCCGATGCTTTTCCTACATGTCTTAATCAAGCTCGAAGGCACATTTTCGTTTTCTTCCGATAACTATGAACGATGGTTCGAAGAAAGACTACTAGTTCGATCCTTGCGTGCTGTTCCACAAAGAGCCTAATGGCTGGGGCATCAGAGTCCTTAACCAGGAAGTCTGCAGACTCTTCCGTCCGCCGAGAAAGGAACACGTTCAAAAGAACGACATTAACTGAAAATGGTTTCCGGTAAAGAGCAGTGATTTCTGAGGACCTTCATTAGTCTCTCCTCCTTCCGCCGCTCGCTTGCTGTCAGCGGCATCCAAACTCCGTTCGCCCCCAAGTTGTCAGTGTGGTGGAAGCCAGGCGCTCGCCGGTCCGATCAAACGCCTCCCTTTAATCCCCTGACCCCCTCTCTCTGTTCGTGGGTCTGCTCAAGACGGCGATGACGTGGCGATAGAGAGACACGGGACTGGTCCACCGAACACGTAAAGCTTCCTCCGCACTCTCATAGTTTGGATGAACGAATGAAAGGTACCGTTAACGAAAGCCGTGTCCCCTTACGATCGTTTCTTAGTTTCGCCCCGTCTTTGTCGGAACCGATTATCGGGACCCGATACTTCGGCTAAATGGCTTCCGACAGTTTCGGAGGTGGGCTTCCAACCTTTTGGAACGCTATACCACGGGTGTGCATTTGAGCGTGTGTTTTATTTGTTCTGCTACTTTCATTTTTTTTTTATATAGTCTGTCGTGTTACATTGTGTTTTAAGTTTAAAACAATAGAATGCATGCACAAAAGCGTAAGCGGAGTATAGGCTATCGTTATTGAACTTCTCAAAACAATCTACGGAAACTCTCTTTATTAAAGGTACTGGGCGTGGGTGTGCGCAGTGCCTTTAATACCGCGGTGATAATGTTCCAATTTAGGAGTATCTAGCGGGAGCCTTATTTATGAAGCCACCCATAATAAGTACCGCCGACGTGTCCAACCTAATGATAATAAGGACAATCGGCCGAGAGAATATATGACGTCAAGTGGTAAGTATCATCTAAACCATGTAGTCGAGCGTACGAGAGAGAGAGAGAAAATAAGAACAGTCTTGTGTGAATCTGCAGTAAAATCCGAGTGATAACTGAAACACCTTATCGAGCCCTAACGTATCATATGTATCTTGCACTCATGTATCTCTCACTTTACATCGGGGAACCATTGCCAATATATCTACTGGGAGGGTGAATCACTCAGTCCACCTGTCAGATTACACCGTGGCGTCACGTGACATCATGGCGTCAAATAGCCCAATGACGTCACATGACTTTAGGATGGCACAAGGCGCCGTGACGACGGGACGACGTGACACCGTGGCGCCGCATTACACCTTGTCGTCACGCGACGACATCGACGGACGCCCTACTCCAACATCAGTTCAAGTTAGGAGGAAGAGCCCGCAACAGCTATCGCTGTAAAACCCAAGCTAAGGAAAAAGCATCACGCGATATGTGACGTGGCCAATGAACGAAATGGTGTTGCATCGTTTTCACAGGACGCAGACGGCCATTCACGCGAGGGCTCGTGCCGTCTCGTGCTTCACAAGCGCAGAGTTCCAGCGGGGTTGTTGCACGTGTAGAAAGGCTGAAGTCCTTTCGATGTATTGCGACAGCGGTGGTGTAGTTACAGTGTTCTAGAGGGGGTTGTAGTGGCAAGAGCGGCGGCCGCTTTGTGAAGATTTTTCGCGTAGACGACACCATGGCGCTGCTGTTCTGTGCCCTAGGAGCGCGCCCCGTCAGCCCCATCATCAGCGCTGTTCGGCGCTTACAACCGTGGTTTGACTGGAGCTTTTCGCGGTGCGAAACAACTGCTGATGTAGTTTTTCTTTTATACTCTGTTTCACTTTATGATGTACCGCAGGAAAGGCTACAAGCGCGAGCTCCTTGCTCTGGGGCACACCTCGGCGGCACAAGCTCTCGTGAATTAAGAGCAGCTGCCAACGCTATGAGCTCGCGCTTCTAGCCTTCGCTGCGGTACAACGTAAGGCGAAACAAAATATACTAAATTGTAGTTCTGCCTTTGGACTAATGCCTCTAGAGTGTGAGCTATCCTCTACTTGAAATATTCGCGTGTTTTGAGGGAGATTATTTAATTAATATCGACTCCCCCCCAGTAATGACACATCATGCAGCAACGCTATCACTTGGGCTGCAGGCTTAATAGCTCCGAAAGAAGTTCTGCGGTGCTACATTTCGGAGAAGCGTACCGCGTCACCCTCGTCGTCTTCTTCGTTCATCGCACACGTGCCATTAATTCTCCTAGGGCACATAACTCCAGCGCCACTCGCGGTATCTACGTCGACCGTCTTCACGCGCTTCATTGTAAGCGGGCGCCGCTCTTGCCACTACACCCTCTAGAACAATGTAGTGTAGTCAAATTGGCTGGTGAGATCGGCCTATAGGGAGCATTCACTGGACACCATATTTCGGGCGATGTTTAGGGCGCATGCTCAGAACGAGCTTACTTTAATAGCCTGCTAAGACCGGCAACCTGGATGGTGTGGAATGCACGTTGCAAAAGAACTGTGGAAGCTCGCCGTCAGCACGCGCTCTGCAACAACGCACACAGGTATGGCCGCCAGTGAATACTCCCTATAGGGGCGTGGCAGGGTTCCAGAGCGCGCCACCTTCGGTTGATC